TTCAGGAATATCAGGAAATATTGATAATTTTCAGAGTCAATATACCCAAACCCAAAAAATACTGGGTTGGGGTTTTTTTGGGACGCCCCTAGTTTCAATGCAGTGCCAGTTGCTATCCCCATTTCTACTAGGAGTGCATAGTGTTCACGAAGAGACAGGACAATACCTGATGATCTGTTGCAGGCATCACTCACTGTACAGCTTTTGACACTAGCACACACTGTACAGCTTTTGACTTGAGCTCTAGCACATGATTGACACCAGCTGGGAATCTGGTCAGTCACAGTCTCTCACCAACCCCAACTTCTCTGTCAGGACCAATGGTGCATCCCTTGGCCCAAATGACAGTGCATGCTACTTTCCCTACAGATGCACCCTGTTACAATAGCAGTACGAATTCCCACTGAACCAGTCCAGCAACCCCTCACATCACTGCCTGTAGTACCCCCAAACACCTCTGCTTCATCTTCTCTTGACATTTTGAGGAGAATTATGATAATCCTGGTGCTGCGGTGGCTCAAGTGGTTAAGACGCTGAACTGCAGGCTGTGGAAGGTCAGTAGTTCAGCGGTTCAAGACCTGAGTGCCGCAAGACAGGGTGAGCTCCTGTCTCTAGTTCCAGCTCCTGCCAACCTAGCAGTTCGAAAGCAAGAAATTGCAAGTAGATAAATAGGGACCACTTCGGTGGGAAGGTAACAGCGTTCCGTGCGCCTTGGTGTTTAGTCATGCCGGCCACATGACCACGGAGACGTCTTCGGACAGCGCTGGCTCTTCGGCTTGGAAACGGAGATGAGCACCGCAACCCTAGAGTCGGATTCGACTGGCTTTCGAGCAAGGGAACCTTTACCTTTACCTTATGATAATCCTACAGACTCTGTTGCATCAGAAAAGGCTTCAGAGGCATCAGAGTCTGATGCCAAAGCTCTACCCCCCAAAAAAAGACACAAGGACGTGCAAAGAGCTGTTGACTCAGATGGCCACCTCTCTGGGACTGATGATAAAACAATCTTCAAAACTACAGCATGTACTTGATGCATCAGCTCACAGACGCTGATCTGCAAAAGCCTGTCCACTCTCCTTATGTTGCTCTAGGTGGCAACGCACTCCTGAGAACAAAACAGTAAACTTTCCACACCCCTCACACTGAAGGAACTAGAGAGCCTGTACAAGATTCAGCTTTTTTTTTCTTTAGGAGCTGTAGCTGAACTTTCTCTCTGCTCCTCCTCTCCCCGATTCCACTGCAGTGCAGACTTCTCAGGACACAAGAAGACACTCTGCTCCTATAGATAAGGGGGGGGGGGAGGGTGAACGGCACAAATAATGTGTTCTGTTCATTGGCTGTACTGTCCCTGAAGGTAGCCAGTTACCTTGCCTGTTTGGCAAAATATTAATACTTTTTCTAGCCTTGAACATCAGATACCTGCAGACATGAAAGAACTGGTAAGCTCGGCACCTTATCAAGATAATCACCTCTGACCATGTTGCCAGCTGCAGCTCCTAGGGCCACTGCTGTTGTCCAAAGACACTATTGCCTAGCTGAGCTCCACTGCACCGACTCCTAAGCCTAAGGCAAGAATACAGGATTTATCCTTTGGAGAAGGAGAAACCTTCCTTAGTAGCAAGACTTAAAACACTGGAGAGAGAGAGACAAAACGCTCAAGTCAGTTGCTCACATCTACCATTTACAAGACCCAGAAGCAATGGTTCTGCTCCTCCATGGATCAGTCTTTATCACATTGGTCCTTCTCTTCTTCCTTCCCCCAGGCTTCACATTACCTCTCAATGCTTCAAGTCATCTAGAGCCTCTAACTGGGGATTCTGTAGATTTGACCTTCCCTTCTCCCTAGCTGTCCTACACCCTTTTCACTATCATCTGCCAGCCTGGAAAGCTACATCCTCCATCTCACCATTATCTAGCTCACCATTATCTATTGAATTTGCTTTGCTTCCCTCATCCAAATTGATCAGATGTACACTCTACAATCTAACCTTGCCCTCCTTCTCAAAAACCACCCTCCGCGTTGGAAGAGGCAACTGAAGCAGTGGCACCCTCTCAAAGAGATTTAGGGTTCTTGCAGTGCATGAATGAATGACTGATTTATGTCAAAGATTAACACAGTTCTCCTTGCAGTAACCTCACTGTCACAAAGAAATAGGGAAGTACTCACCCCCCTACTTTCTATCTCAAATGAGTCAATAGAAACAGATTCAAGAAGTAGTTCTGGATGGTAACACTGGCTTCTGTACTTCTCCTGCCAACACCAACAGCACAGAACTGGCCCATTCAGGAAACACCCAGGCTTCCTGCACGACTAGGGTCCAAAGAAAGGACAAAAACCTAAGTCCAGACAAGACTTAAGTGCTGTTTGTCAATAACAATGTGGTTTGAGGGTTGAGGAAACAGCCTGAAGGAGGTTGGAAGTGCTGCTGAATCCCAGACTATAGCTCGTCTCTTTCGTGGCATGTAGCATCTTCAGCTGATGAGCCAAGCCATTCCTTCAAAAAAAAAGGATCCTTGAAAAGAGGAATCTGGCAACAGTGATCAATGCTTTATTTCTAGCCTGATGACTATTCTATAGATATCATTTTAGGCTGTATATGGCTTGTTTTTATATTAATTATTTTATAGTGTTTTATTATTTTTTGTTTTTATTCTGTGAGCTGCCTCAAGGAGGTCTCTAAAGAGGCAGCATATAAATTGTCTGGAGGAAAAACAGAACTTAGGGTCAGAGCAGAGATGTACTTTAGCAGTGCCCAACATTCTCTTCTTCTAACTGTACCTGTACCTACCTTCAGGTAGGTAACTTTGATCGCTTTTCCTATCAGTGTGATGCACAGAGGACACAATTTTTTTAAAAAGACTGCTTTCCTATAACTAATGTTCAAGTAGTCATCTGTGCATTCACACAAACCCACCCTTCCTTCCCTACAGTATTACTTTTTTGGCAAGAATTCAGCCAGAAGATGCAACTCCTATCCATGAGGGGAGAGGATTTTCATGCCTAAAAGCAACTTCTAGAAGGTTCTGAACTGAAGCTACGCACAGGCACAAAACCCCAAAGTCTATCAGTGTTAATGCACAGATGACTGCTCAAAGAACAACAGTTACAATTAAGCAACCCCCGGACTTATCCTTGCAAAATAAGCTGCTGGCCACAAATCTATCTGGATTCTCCCATCCTGGACTGAAGTCCAACAATGGAAAAGTAGTTGTCCAAGCACTCCAAAATGAGCACAAATACTACTATGCACAGGGCCTTCAGCCTAAGTGCTTTGTGGTAACTTGTTGAATTGCACGTGCCCTCATACTCATGCATGAACCTGCACTTAAAAAAAAGTGTCAGTCCAAACAGCAATGCTCCCTCTAAGCTGTGGAGTCTTGTGAGCAGAAATTCTACTTTTTGAGCTACTGGCATTAAAGTTGTGAGCAAGCAATTTGGCAGCTGCATAAATTAGTTCACTATGGAGCCATCCTTTCTGAGCTAAGACAAAAATGTGTGAGCTGGAGGCTCAAAAACTGTGAGCTAGCTCACACTAACTCAGCTTAGAGGGAACACTGGCTATGAGCCAATGGACATACCCTTCATTGTGTGAACTGACTGTATTATATGAAACACAGTCTTCAAGTGAACTACTAGAAAATGCCAGCCTGATATTCACGACCTCTGGCTGCTCATTTCCCAAGGCTACTTCCCATAGAGCAATCTATCCAAACGAGTACATGAGCCACAAAGAGTGCATCCTCACTTCCTGAACGATCTAAAACACGATGCTCGCTGCCACCATGGTAGACTGGGGAGAGGAAATATAGGAGTTTTAGAAAGGGAATGTTTTTCCCCCCTGAAAAGTATACTAAGAGCAACTCAGCCAAGCCCTGGGGATTGGAGAAATACAAGAAGGCAGATGTGAACGGACGGCATGTGGCAACAGATCCAAGTAGCAGAAAATAAAAAGACGAGGAAGGAGTAAAGGTGTTACACACAAAGAGCCAAGCAGGGCGTACTCAGAAATCGGGTCCTCCTGCCACCAGGCTTGAATGTCACCCGCTCAGATGCACAGTTAAACTTCACACAGCCTGTGATAAAAACAAAAAAAAGGAGGGAGGAACAAGGAGAAAAGAGACAGAACACAACTACAAGATGTTAGAAACTCTAGGCCGGAGTGGTGAAATGCACTAGGAAGACGCAAGAGAAAAAGCCTCAGGTCAATAGAGGAGAGGCAAGAAAGGCACCAAGATGCTCCTCCCACCCCCCTTCCCAAACATCACGTTTGTTCTCTGCACTGGGACAGATCTAGCCTTCAACTGTTAGTTCAACAGGGCTGCATGCCACAAGCAATCTAAATCACAGCAAAGGCTCACACTTATATAATACAACTTCAAGGGTACACGAGGCACAGGTTAGTAGGGCTCATACAGTTAGAGAGAGAAATGAGCACATTTTCCCTTCTCTAGCAACAAAGATTTGGATGGGGGGGGGGGGAGCCCGATAATTTTTTTTCTCTGTGTATCCCTTTTTTACCCTTCCCCTTGGACTTACATTCATACACTGCAACTTCAGCCATTCCAAAATATTTTCAGTGGGGAGGAAAAGAACAAGCATATTGGGAAAGTAATTCTAAGGATATAAAGCATTCAAATGTGCAATTTCACAGAATGTTCAGAGACCACACTAAGCGTGTCTCTCTCTCTCTCTCTCTCCAAAGCAAGGTGGACAAGTCCCCGATTTATCCAAGATAAGCTTATTCTTAGCCCTGTCTTCTCAAGCGTTTTGACTTCAACAGAATCACCACTAAGTCAAGCTTCTGCATACCCTCCATTTATCTCCTTAACCAGGAGGTGCAAGAAGTGGGAGCCTCCATGGTCATATCATTATTTTTGCTTGCTGTTAATGCGGCAGACCTGGGAGGCTCATCCTATGAAAACGATACTCCAAAACACAACACAGTATTCACCCTCCCCACCCGAAGTCCGCCTCCATGCCACCAATCCAGGATGCTTACCTTGGCCTGGCGCAGAAAGGCTTGGTATGGAAATGGCACCATCACTGGTAAAGGCAGAGTAGAGGTTCTCACTAGAAGGCGATGGTTTAAGGGGCTGTAACAGATGATTCTGTCCTGTCTCTGGGGCACTGCCAGGAGGGTGTAAGGTCTGTTGTGGGGGCAAGACTGAAGGTGCGCTCTGAGCAGACAGATTGCCTACAGAAGAAAAAATGCAAACAGTTAGGGCACGGGCAGCATGGTGGATACTTGGTTCTCCTATCCCAAAAGAGATTCTCATGGAGTTCTATATTTTGCATCATGCTCTGCCAAGACATATAGGGAAGTTCTGGCAGCAAACCAGCAAGGAGTAAAAGATGAGTGGAAGAAAATCAAGGGTGAGAAATGCACAGGTTAAAAAGGAGAAACTTTCATAGGATTCCTGTACTTGACTGAGAACCTTCAAGCTACGTATTTTCTCTGTGTGCACACTCGACACAAACAGGGAAAGCCACTTTTCATTGCACATAAACTCTGCTGCGCTCCTTGAACTGTCATTTATATTACCAACTTTTAATTGGCCTGCTTCTATTCTTAGGCTGTTCATGTCCAATGGCTTGTTTTTACATTGTTTTAACTGTAAGCTGCCTTGAGCAGGACTCTGAAGAGGCAGCATGAAAAAATACCCTAAATAAATCTAAAATACAGTGCTCACCATCAGAATGGTAAGGGACACAGTTGAAATCTTCTGTGAAACTTACAAATGAGACCGTGCCATATTGGACAGTGTTGGACTACCTTGAGTTCCTTGTAAGAAGAGCTGAATAAAATTAAAGTGAAAGTAAATTAAAGTGAAAGTACTTTTCAGTGGCAGCCTGATGAGGCCAGGCAATTTCAGATACCAAAGCAGAAGACTGCAGAATTTCAACTGTAGCAAGTCAAATCAGTCTGCAAACAAGCCTGTCCAACAAGTCTCAAGAGGCGCCACTGAGTGAACTGACCTGTGTGGCTCTATCTACTGCAGTATTTTTAGTGCCATACCCAAAATCTGAGGGCTCTTGTTACCCTGGGAACTGCTGCGGCTGGATTTGCTGCTTTTCCCTTTAGTAGGTCTTCTCCGCCTTCCTGACAGAGGAGCAGCTGGAGGGATAATGACAGCTGGAGGCACCTTCCCCAGTTTTGTATAAAGCAGTTCAATCTCCAACTTCTGCCGACTCTGAAGCTCTTGGATCTCTTTAAGGTGCCTAGAGAAGAGAAACACAATGGATTGGCCACACCATTTCTATTACTCTCCCTTCCCACATCATCAGATCGCTCGCAACCTGGGTAGCTGCGAAGTTAATTCAAATTAGAGACAATTTGCCTTTAGGTATTATGGTATTAAAGCCAGGAGGAGAGCAATGCCACCATTTTAGTCCACCCGCACACATTGATAAGCTAGACGGTTCACTCATCTTTTTAATGAAGTGGCCAAGACTGAGCTATGGGTGGGTTACGTCCCCAGACTGTGGCATGCCTCTGCCATGAATTCACGACAGTAGCCCCAAGCAAGTTTTAAAATGCTTTAATTACTTGTTTTTCTATTAAGTTTCTTTAACCATAAGCCACCTTGAGAAGGACTCTGAAGAGGAAGCAAAGAAATGTCCTAAATAAATTTAAAAAGTCACATTTCATTTGCCACGCAAGGAGAATAGCCATGTGCTAGTTCCACTAGGAAAACGTGGATTTTATAGATCTCACTGTAATTGCCTTAGCTATCTTGTAGACCTCCTATCAATGACAACAAGGAATTAATATTGTAATATCTAAAAGCAGACTGTCACATGGGAAAAAGACTTCCAACTCAGCAAAGATACTTCCAGCGTCTTCTCATGAAAAGGTCTGAAAGAAGAAAAAGTCCACTCACTTCTCACGCAATCGGCGCAGCTCACACTTCAAGTCTTCATCTTCTATGTCCGACTCATTATCACTGCTCATGTAGGAAGAGTTAAATGAGTTGCTAAGGCTCTGGGCTGGAAGACTGATCTTGGACCCAGGAGGATGGAGGGAGTCTGGACTGCCTGAGCCTTCATCCATTTCTTTAGCTGCCCTACTCAGGAAGGCAGCCTCCAACTCAGATGACGGTCCATTTAGATGCAGGGAAAGTCTTCTCCCGGCAAACTCTGATTTAGGAGTTGTGAGCGGAGAAGAAACTTGTTCTGACTCTGCAGACAAAGGGACTATTCCAGGGACATCTCTCTCCACGCAGGTCATCTCATCTTGGGTTCTTGATACGGAGAAACGACCCACTTGGTCAGTTGTTGTCGTCACCTGGAAACGCCCAACCTTGGTTGGCTGCAGTTGGGTGGTGGAAGCTTGTGAAGAGACTCCATCCACCACATCTGAGGTAGCCGCTATGGCCTCAGCTTTCCCACTGGGGTCTGACTTCACCAGAGTACTCTCTGGGCTACTGCTAGACAAAGAAGAGGAACCAGAGGTGGTTGTGTCAAAGTGCTTGGGCTTACTTCCGCTGTCTTTCTGCTCATCCACAGCCACTGACACCTAGAGAGGATGGAGAGATGAGGTAAACGTATCTCAGAGCCTTTCCCCCCCAGTGTTCACTCAAATCTGACCCAGGAAAACAGCCAATCGACTATTATACTAGACCATTCAAAGGTAAAAAAATTGAGTTAATGCTAAATGCCATCAAAATGGAAAAGGAAATGCTGGACATTTTATAATGTCAGTATTGTTCCAAGGCTGGAGTGTTAGATCTGGGAAACTGAGAAGGATATCCAAGTTTGACGACATGAACTAGGGACAGTGTTCTCCCAACTCCAGAACTCCCATCTATAAAACAGGAGCAACCAGGGAATCAACAAGGGCCAGGCAAACATTTTGCTAATACCTGAAAGCGACCCATCTTAAGAACTGCAACCCCTGAGGCAGTAGTAGTGGCACAACACTCTGCACCCTGAGAATCTGAAACCAAGAAAGTGATAACGAGAAGGTTAATGTTCTTCTTATCTCACTATACTGTGAAAAAATCCCAAGACTCAGATCATTAGTCTCCCTAATATTGTAAATACGTCTAAGAAAGTACATCCTAAGTGCATTAACAGTTTTTATTACCAACATGCTACACAAAAGAAAGTGGTATTTCATTCACTACTTCAGCTGCAATCTGTTCATTCAGGCCTGTTAACATACTTTTTAGCATGACGGGATTCTATAAATATTGTTACGAGTACATGAAGAGCCTGAAAATGTTCATTAACTCATTGCTGCGCTATATGAATGGGATATTAGACCGCAGTAAATAAAAAATAAAAAAGTAAACCTTGAAAATGACACGGCACTGAGAAAAACTGACAAATCTCCTGCATCGCTGACCACAGCCCAAACTGAGACATTAAGCAATTGTGCTTTTGCATACTGAAAACCAGGGCTTTTTTTGTAGAAAAAGTCCAGCAGGAACTCATTAGCATAATAGGCCACACCCAGCAGCAGAAACTCATTGGCATATTAGGACACACCCCTTACTTCACCACTCATTAGCATATTAGGCCACATTCTCATGTTACCAGAAGTGTGGTCATCCAGCCACACCCACCTTTTGCTTCTTATTCTGTTTACCTTGCTTGTTGTCAAAACCCAGGGCTTTTTTCTTGCAGGAACTCCTTTGCATGTTAGGCCACACACCCCTAAATGTAGCCAATCCTAAAGAGTTCCTGCTGTTGGGTGTGGCCTAACATGCTAATGAGTTCCTGTTGGGTGTGGCCAACTTGGGAGCCAGCCGGACCTCCGTTCCTGTGCGTTCCTACCCAAAAATAGCCCTGCTGAAAACAAAGGTGGCAGCAGCCCCACAGACTGTCTCAGCTGTTCTCAAGCAGCCAGAGTTAAACATTTTAACCAGTGTCACGCAAGTGTTCTACCTTTCTCGATTTTGGGTGGGCTGTTATTCATTTGTCCTGGGGTCAAATTCCAAAGCCAAAAGCAAGCATTTGTGACTAGGGATCAGTGTTCCCTCTAAGCTGAGTTAGTGTGAGCTAGCTCACAGTGTTTTAGCCTCCGGCTCACACATTTTTGTTTTAGCTCAGGAAGGATGGCTCCAGAGCAAACTAATTTATGCAGTAGCCAAATCACTTGCTCACAACTTTAATGCCAGTCGCTCACAAAGTAGAATTTTTGCTCACAAGACTCCACAGCTTAGAGGGAGCATTGCTAGGGATGGGCACAAACCTGGAAAATGGAGGTTTGTCCCAGTTTGTGGGGTCTCACAAACCATGAAACTTCCTGTTTAATGAACCGGTTCATTTCGTGAGGTTCATGATGCGGTAGAGCTGCCCTCTGTGGGCTAGAGACACCAAACTCACAGTGAGTCTCCAGCTGACTCTTCTCTTCCCATTTTCCTTTTGACCCTGCAATCCTCAACTTCCAGGCCTCCTGGGGTTCCCCTTTCTGGCCTGGCCTCATCTGCTGGCCTCCCCCTGGCTGCCCAAAGTTCCCACTGTTTCTGCAAACAGGAGATCACCTTCCCCTTTCTCCCCCAAGCCTTGGATCTCCACACTCCTGCGCCGTCCTGCACCCCTCCTCCACCTCTCCCTTATCTCCTTCCACCCCCTACCTGGGCCCTGTCTCACAAGGGCCGTTTTTGTTTGATGTTTGGAGGGCCACTATTGGTGTTTCCAGGGCTGAGGAAGTCCAACCCCCTGGTTCTTTGACAATTAATTGATTGGCGGCAGCATGTCTGCTGCATGAACCTCTGTAAAAATCATGGAGGTGGTTCATTGCAGGCGTGACTGCATGACCCTCAGCTCACAAACCACGAACCGGGCAATTTTCATGACCAATTTAGGTTCGTGACGAGTTCATGCCTATCCCTATTTGTGACAGTATATAAGATTCTTGTTAAAAATACAGCCACCAGTTTCAGCAACAGCAAACTGCAAGTTTTCCTTTTTAGCCAGTACTCACTCAAAGAGTTCTTACCAGTATTCGAAGGCTGTTCTAGTGCACTCACCACTCCAGTAACAGTTGTAGAAGCCGCAGATGGCAGAGGCTACAAATAAAAAATAGTTTTTAGTTCTTTTTATCATTAGCAGAGCTTTCGCCCAAAAGCTTTGCCTGTAGTCTTTCAGAGCTTATCCATTTTTTCACTATCATATTTCATACAAGGAACTTTAAGTGGCAAGCATGGTCTTCCCCTCCTCCACTTTATTATCACAGCCACTCCGTGAAGCAGGGTAGGCATAAAGCTCACAAATGGCCCTGTGCCAACTAGTGAACTCCAGAGCTGAGTGAGGATATTAAGCCAGGTCTCCCCCATTTTATCCAACACAAACTACTACACCACACTGGCTCTCTTCACGGCTAACTCCAGAACTGAGGCAAGTAAATGGCATTCCATTTCAAACGGTTTTTCACAGCAGCTTCTTTTCCAGGTTGCAAAAAAAAAGCTTTGCTGTCATTGAAACAAGACTTATTCCCCTCATAAAACAAAATGACATATGCCTATTATATGGATGACCCAGAGATCTGGCTCCCCAGAGCTTTACCAAATTTTAATTAAGGCATTTTTGCTCACAGTTGCAACTTGTGAAGCAAATAAGTTTGCTTTTTATGTGTGAGTCAGAGAGTTCTTACTGCAAGTGGGGCTGAAGGTATCATATGAATAACTGCTCTTAGAGACAAAGAATTCCCTGAATGTAAAAAACTAAACAAAGAAGAATGTTTGCAGGCTTGCTTTCTCCCTAATATGCTATTCTTATGATCTACATGAACAGTTTGTAACGTGAACTGCCATCTGCCATGGTACAATTCAGACCCAGGTTTAATTCATTGAAAAGGATGCCAAAGATACTCTACACTAATTTTGGATTGGCTCCTACAAACCATGGGCAATGTGTAGCTTCTCCACCTCCATCTTCCCCCAGAGACTCTTATCACCTCCAAAAACTGACGCTTGGGAGCCATGTGAACAGAATGGCACTGGAAGCTGCTACAAAGAAAGAATCAACTGACTCTGTCCCTTCTTACTGTTCCACTGATGGGAGTTTCCAGTGAAGCAGAAGACTCCATCAACATAAGAAAAAAGTCGGGACCAATGCTGCCCAACTCTCCAACATCATCTCAGCCCCTCCTGGTTTATGGAGTTTTCTCCATGAGGCTCAGTTTGCCAAAAGTGTCTTCCATTCACAGTTCGCACAGTCCAACTCACTGTCTCTCTTTGGCTCTTATATGCAATGTCTTGGTTAAAAGCTACTCTGAGATGTTATTATAGAGACTATCCATAAAGGTGCTTGGGATGTTACAGCAAAATACACTTTTAGACTTACAGACTGCTGTCTGGAAACAGAGTTACTCCCAAGAATGAAAAAAAGTGGTCATCCCCGACAGAGTATTTATAAGTGGATTTGGGGAGCACTATCAAACACTTTAGACCTCGGTTGTTTTAGATATCCTCTTCTTGTTTTGTCCTTCCCTTTCTATTTTTTCCCTCCCAAGTAGTACCTAAATCTGCCTTCTCCTGAAGTTCTGACGCACACAGTTCAAAGACAACAAACCCCCAAATTCTAGTCAAAATGGAACACAGAATACAACATTTCTGACAGCTATAGGGAGTGAACTAGAGAGTTCTTTACTCACTACCTTCTGTAACATTTCATTCCAAAAGATCCTACTTAACCCTATTAAGAGTTGAAGGGCTTCTGGAAGGTATTTGTAGCAACAGCTTTGTAAAAAAACACAAACAGCCTTCAAACAACTTATCGTAGGCAACCTCTCAAAGCATCCATTTCCTCTGAGATGCATTTACACATCAAAGGGAATTTATCATTAATTTAATAAAAGCATAATCTGGACAGAAAGACTGTATACTCAGCCAAGGATATATAAACCTTTGCATATGCAAACAGAGTAGTATGGCAGATCATTCAAATCACACCCAAGGAGTTATAGAGCACCAATTGAAGGCAATGCTTGAGGGTGAACATGGAAACTTTCAATTGCCCTAGAAAAACTTACACAGGTAGTAGCCGATGTTGTTGGGACAGTCTCTGGACTCAGAGCTCTTCTCAACTGAGCATCCAAGTCTTCCAGAGGTTGCTGGGACTGTAACAAAAAGGAACAGTTAGTTGCTGTTCCTTAGCCTTCCTATACTAAAAGAGCACCTGCCCCCTGGCGCCGTCCCCCAACCCGGTACCTGTTGGGCAACTGCTGCTGCCAAGAAAACAAGCAGCTGGGTTCCATAATACAGTGACAGCAGCCACCCCACCACCATAGAGACCAACAATTGCCAGCTTGGCAACTGTGTGTGTGTTTACAATTGCCCACAGCAGTAGTGGCAAGAAGACCTTGCAGATGGGAGAGAGGACATGGCAACATATGCCCACCAGCAGGGAGAAAGTGGGGACAATACTATTAATTAGCTGTAATCTTCATGGATTTTCATAAACCATACTGAAGACCATTATACATAGATATCTTAAATATATACCTGATATCTTAAAAATACAGAAATAAAAATGCAATGACATTAGAATCCAGTGGTACAAAGCAGATGTTAACGAAAGAGTCACTTGTTAAAGGAAAGCTTCAACCTTTGCCAAGTGAAGTAGTCAGATGTAGGCCATTTTATTCATATATGTTGCTTTTCTTCCATCATGGATAGCTACTCTAATCATATCCCAAGATCAAAATGACACTAGCCTAGTAATGTAATTTATATATCACACTGCAGTTTCTTCTCTAAGTCTACTAATTTTTCATTTAAAATTTTTAAGAATCCAGAATCTGCAACTGTGTGTTCTTAAAACCACAGCAGTCCATAGTAACATGGCATTCACAAAACCTCCTTCAGAATAGTTCTGTACATGGCACATCATAAGAACTTTCGTAGCCAATACCCTATTTTAGTATTAAACAGGTTGAGAAAATGTAACTATACTCTCCAAGACACACATGGGTTAAGCTACAGTAAAGTTTCAAGAAAATATTGTTTTCCATATTCCAGCTATAAAACTGGCAAGTATTGTTTCCAGATTTAACAATATGGAAAAATAAGAAGATAATGAAATAAATGGACAGAAAGTCCGGTACTGGTTTGGATCTACTGGAGGGTTCTTCAGATGGGAGGGATTTTCATACACAGAAATGGACTCCCCACCCCCCATAGCCCAAAATACAGACCACCACACTACTGTTCCTTTGGGAAAAGGGAAAAAAGAGAAATCAGTAACCCCTGCCCTTTTCATCCACAGAAATCTTCTACAAGATCCAAGACATCTATCTTCTGAAGATTACAGCAAGTCAGGACTGGGACCTAAATAGTTCAATCTAAATTCATTACCAGTAGCAACTGTTTACACAAAACAGATACTTTTAAACTACTGATCTATGATGTTATATTGCTCGATAAGATAGCATCATAGTTAAACAGCGAATCCTTACACCACTCAAACAGCGGTTGACAGCTCTCTTCAGTGCTGTCCACACAGCTCATCATGACCATATTACCATTTACAAAAGCAAATCTGGATATTGTGTGATAGATACGGACTGATGGCGACATAGATGCTCAATAAATTAGGTCAGCACAAAAGCCTGTTACAACTAGATCCACTCAACCCAATCTTGGCACACTGAATTGAACATCACTCTTCAAGAAAAGGAAACATTCATACCAAGGTAAACAACCTTTTTAGCCCAAGTGCCGAATGAGATGCAATGTCTACCTATGAAGCAGAGAAGAGGAGGAGATTGGATTTACTTCACTACCCTTCACTACCCAAAGGTGTCTCAGAGCGGCTTACAAATTCCTTTCCCTTCCCCTCCCCACAACAGACACCCTGGGAGGTAGGTGGGGCTAAGAGAGCTCTTTCGAGAACTGCTCTTTTTCAAGAACAGCTCTTATCAGAACTACGGCTTGCCCAAGGTCATCCAGCCAGGTGCAAGTGGAGGAGTGTGTAATCAAACCCAGTTCTCCCAGATTAGAGTCTG